TTGTGGTTCCCGAGTTGAAAGTTGCGGACAAGTTGCTGCGGAAACACACACACACAAACACACACACAGATAACCCCGTAACAATATGCGTTTTGTACTGCTGCTACACAGCACAAAACGCATAAAAACTGGATGACGCATGATCGGGACATTTTCTGTGGTCTGTAGAGACGACACCATCCCAACCAATAATGAGTAGGCAAAACAATGCTGCAGTCACCGCTGTGAGTGACATCCATCGCTTCATTAAAGACGGATGGAATTTACATATTAATGAGTGATACTGACGGGGCCGAAGCGACCACTACACTGGCCTCTTCTAACCAGTCGTAATTTGTGTATACCGTGAGACCATGTGAACAACAATCTGGGAACAGTATGAACCAAGACTGGAAGACCTGAGCAATTCTCGGAGTGTGCAGCTCTATTTCAGAGTGGCACGGAAGGCATTCCGTCGATGTGGGAGATCCTGACAGTTCAATGTAAAATTTCTGTATGCGAAATTCAGTCACGATGGGAAAGGGACGGATAGAGGGGTCTACGGTAAGACACAAACCTTCGCCATTTATCCGCTAACGACGGTTTTTTGAACTATTCGGTCAAACAGCAGTAAAATAAGCGTACAGTTCCATCCATCAAAATCAGGCCTGCTCGTCACTGGTTTAACAGTTTACACATGTTAGCTCTAGTCAATGATTCAGACCAGCAACTGGTCGGATCCCAAAATGAATAGAGATCACATGCGGTCAAAGAAAAACGTGTACTAGTAATTTGAAAAATTCTGCATTTCAAATAACCAGAATGCAACACTTTTGTCGCACATCCATTAAAATTGGACTGTTCGATAAGAATCGCTAGCCCTCCAGATGTAAATACACTCATTTCAGTTGTTTTGTATTCGTCGTTAAGTCAGTCCCAGAACAGATTTTTTTGCATGCAGACAATTCCAGAAAGGTAAAATTTACTTTTAGGTAAAGGCAAAATCTGCGAATGTAAGGCAAACAAGTTCTTGAAAACGAGGATAAAACAGTGAAATTGAGACATGCGCATTCACAGTAACGGACCAGAAAATACAAAATAAAACAGCGATCAAATGCAGTGTAAGCCCAAATTGTAGTACCTATCGATCAAATTGTATCTTCTGTTATTTTTCACGCATCGGCTTAATGAAAGAGTTATCTAAACGAATTTAGTGTTTCCATGCATAATTTTTTTGCTCTGTCCGCATCTTTTGATTGAAATTTACACTCCTCATTTGTATTCTTCAATGCTTTACACAATTTCGTGCATCTTCCTTTTTCCAAAATCAGAAATAATAAAAAAAAACACCTACCCGCTCTTCATGCAAAAGTGCGTCACCTGTGAAAAAAAAAAAACAAAACAAAACACTAAAACAATTGTGAAATGCCCTGCAAATTTTTCTTTACAGTCAGTCTCAACTGAAATTCTGCAAATCCACATTATCAAAATCGAACGTAAAAAATGAGAACCAAAACAAGTGATTTCACACACAAAAATGGACTAAAATAGAAATATTTGCTAAAACGGCTCTAAGTAGTATCAGCAGCTACGCCTTCTTTTCCACGACCACTGCAGTTCACTGATTCCGCCGTCGAATTGAAGAAGGGTAATCCATCAACAGCACCTTGACTTCTAAAGATAAAAGCTGCAAATTTTGGCAAAAGAAAGGAAAATTTGTTAGCTGAGATAAACCACTTGTTTGGTTTATAGTCGATGAGTAGTGGTAAATGGCACTGTAGAAAAAGAATGCATGAGCGACCCTTTGGAGGTGGACGAAAGCTAAAAGTTGGAAGCAGATGACTCGGTCGATGTTGGCTGCATCTTAGAAAAATTAGTGGCTCCGCAATTACAGCCATGATAATCTAGACAATTTAAAAATTCTTACAGGCAGAATTTTTCAAAAGCTTACCCCGATTCGTCAAGTTGTTGATTATTCACAGGTCCATCTTCATGAATTTCGCCAGCAGAATTATCAACACTAAACATGCCCAAAGTGCATGAGTACTTGCGCCTAATCATTAACAGTTCATCTGCTTAGCTGAATTTCATGAAAATATGACACAGGTAACCCTGGCTTGAAACAGAAAAGCCCCGAATATCTGCATCCGGTATATGCATTTGAATAATATTCATGGCATAGTACAGAGATTTTGACCAGTATACTCCAATGTCGCACATACAACGCCAAAAAAAAGACGTAATCCCAAAAAGGGTTATGTTTGTGTCTACAAATGACAAAAGTTGGATTATTTGATTTTTTTTCCTAGGTCGAACTGTCAGTGTGAAGCACCCGCTGTTACCCGAATCGTGTTTGTTAGGTCCAAATGTTTTGGGGTGCTTAATTAAGTTCGAATCCACTGCCTTCACTACGCTATTTCTCTGCATAACACACGAACACCTTTTTCTTTTTATGTTTTTTTTTGATGGCGAATACACGCGCAATTCTGGCATTTATTACAGTTCGCAAAGCCAAAAGCATGTTCTGCTCAGCAGATTTTGCTTTTTCTCGCGGCAGTACCTTGATTAGCACTTTTGAAGGATACTCAAAGCGTCCCTTCCACTTCTCCGCCCAACGCCAATCACAGCTGAAGTTGACGGAGAAATTGCCAATCTCGGAACTACAAAGGCCGGGGAGCTAAAATTTTAGAAAGACGTTTCTCGCCTCCGCAAATGTAAAGTTGCAAATTTGTGAGACTCCGTAAATTTAAATTCAGCCCCCACGTACGCCTAGGCCTCATGTACAGAAAAGAAGTGTTGGCAAGAAATTTGCTAACTCAAGGACCGCAAAAGCTATGAAGCCGAAATTTTAGGGGTATGTCCATTGCCTGTATGCAATCCACAGATTTTACACTTAGCTTTCAAATGTGCCTAGGCTTCACGTGCAAACACATGAAAGTTCTAGTCGCGCAGAAAGTCCAAACAATTTCCACACGTATCAGACAGGAAAAAGCAATGGACATTTTTTACAGCAATCGTTCGCTGAACAGAACTGCTCAAAATGCATGATCGCAGCTATTACCTGTTCTGAAGTTTTGTTTTTGCCTAACAAGAAATGCATTTACTTGGCTTGACGCACCACTGGTCCATTGTTTTTTGGGCGTATTTCCTTTCCGGTGGATGACAGTTTTACAGTGGCTCTTGCTGGTGGCGCTTGGGTCTGGCTCATCAAAAGTGTACTGATAGTTCTGAGATTCCGTAATATATCATCAAGCACGCACACTGGAAATATCTACATAAGTTACGAAAAAAAAAAAATCTGAAATATGTCGTTTTTAGTTGGAAAGGGGGACCGAAAAACAAATAAATCCGAATTAAAACAAATGGCGACAACGCCTGCGTTTCCACCGTTAATGATTCCAGCGGATTTATCGTGTCGTGCTAATTTGACTCATCCTTTTTCTTCTCCTCCCTTACTTCCTTCCAGACAACTCCAGAAGGACAGAAACGAAGAGACACTTGCACCATCGGTGTGAAATATGCGAGAAAACTCTAAATAAGTGGTTGCGACAGCACGAATTGGGTTGTAAGAGCAGCCAGACTCGCGAAACAGCATCCGGAGAATCTTTGCGGCCTCCTCATATTTTACTTAACGGGTTCATTTTTTTTCATTTGTTTTTGTGCCTTTTGTAAAATAGCATCTTTTCAAGCACAGATTTAAGCCAATTTCTACTGCTCTGTAACAGACTTAACAAACAGAAAGCGAATTTCCAAACACTGCAAATCCTGGCAAGACTCACGCTCTTGAGGGGCACACACATACCAATCATTACCAGGTCTGTGTTGTGGGATCTTGCCAGTAGCAATATTAAAGGAATTAAGCCTTATTGGTGGCTGTGATAAAACCGCACTTTACGAATGTTTCAAAAAATCACTGCCATTTAAGGAATACAGGTTTCATAGATGTTAAAAGCTGCAGCAAACTTTGAAACTCGTAAGGAGTATAAAAACCATTGAGAACGAGCTTTGCAAGCACTTCTCAGCTTCGCAGTGGATTGTGATGCCGTGCTTCCAGGTGGGTCAGCGACCGTAAAACTCGCGCTAGATTATACAATCCTGCATGTGACAAAAGGATAAAAACTACTGCGTACAAAAAAAAGTATGACAGTTAGAAGCAACTACTCGTTAACAAAACTACAACTACTCATTCGGAAACTGCTTGACAATCGTGCTGATACTGAGTTAATTCGAAAACACGTCAGATAAGCCAAACCGAAGCGAATCAAACAGGTGAAGACTTTCTCGGAATTACTTACTAACCAAGAATTCGGATCCCACGAATACATCGAATCTGACTCTCATGCCAGTGATAATGAAAAACAGATGGGAAAAAAGAGAAGCATACTAGTGTTTTGTCTGCGTAAGATCTCGTCCATCTTCGCCTGCTGCTCGGTAATTCCTCGGAGTGCCTTTTTGCTCGCCTCCATTACGTGAACTAGCGAACACTCCAGCTCACTTATCTGTGCAATCGATTATTATGCTTCTATTTTATTACTAGTTTGATTAGTTACCTCGCTACATCAACCTCTTCCACGCTGCACAGCTTAAACATGCAACTCAAGTAATCTCTCCTAGCAGATCACTACTTTCTTCTCATCTTCCCTGTCTTCCAAATCGCCGTCTTCTTTGACGCAATATTTACCGAGGTCAAATGAGAATCCGCTCAAAAAGGCAAATATTCGTTTTTTGAGAAAATAAAGTCAACACACGATGCAGAACCAGGAAATTACCATTTTTCTAATTTTCCCTCAGGCATACAACGCCAATTTCCAGCAGCCACGCATCTTTTACACCAAATGCCAGATAGCAATTCTGTAAGAGGTCAAATGCGCCTCAGGAGTTAACTGACCTTGCAAATTTCGAGTTCTCACGGCACCTCCAAGCAACGGATGACAGTTACTAGTTTACTAATCCCGCTATCCACCATACAGCAATAATAAGTTAATTTGAATTCATCTACAAATGACGCGTCGCAAAAACCCACAATCCAACTACTACACCCAAAACAGAGTATGAGCGAACTAAAATGCGCAACACTTTCGCTTCTTGACAAAGGGAACGCCAACACTCGCCATTTCAAAATTTGGTGCCTGGAGTAACGCTAAATGAAATCGAGATTTGGGAATGTCGAAATCTTACCGTGTGAATTAAACGGCCTAATATTTACTACTGGATTCACACGGACCACAAAGACAATTTTTCTTCGCGTTTTAAGAAAATTCAAGAATGCTTACCGGTTTTAATATTCACCCGGCCTTTGGCTAAAGCCTGTACTACCAAGGCTGACGTCCAAGTCATTCAGATCAAGTTTAATACTTCCTTTTCAAGAAGATAGTAAGGTGCCCTTAAGTATAAAATTCAAGTAATTTTTATAATTATAATCAATGGAATAATTTATGATACAGGTCGCCTAGACCTTTGCCTGCAGTAAGAGCATCTGGTCGTCACTGCGCTCGCGGACGCCAAAACAACGCGGTAAGATGAATTTCTGTAAAAACTGCCAACTCGCATACGAGAGACCAGTGAACATCAGTGCACATTTTGCAAAACGCATCCAAGAACTGGAGGGTTGTGGTGAGGATAAGGAGGTAGTCGGGTCGTTGACAGCCAACGAGTCGTCAATTGAAGCAGTACCATTGCATCGATCTCTTCTCATCTTGCAATCCTGCTAAAAGAAACAAAAAATACCTGGATGCTGATAAAACAGCGGTATGCATTACTTAAAAACACCGCCTCATTTCAAAATACCGCATCGCTTCCACGACCTTGTCTTGTCACCAAGTAATATCTCAAGAAGTAACCGAACAAATCATTTATTGCCCGGCTGTCCAATTTACCAATGTAGAACTTCCCGGCTGCGGACCGCTCGCCGTTGTTACTGGAATGCAGCCGTATTAGCTACTTTTTCCAGCACCTAAGAACCTTAAGTTCAAAGGCGAACGAACACATTTGTATAAGTTGCGACTTGCACTAAATTTGAAAAACCCAGACTGTTTTTCTTTTAACCCTCACACATCAATTCAAGCAAAACATCAATTCTCTTTTAGGTAACTTTCTCTTCCAACCATCTATCGTCGGTCGAAATGGCGCATTTAGATCAAACAAATCATTGTCCAGCAGAAGGTATCGGAAAAAAAGAATCGCATACGGCTGACTTTTTCTCAAAATTGGTGAGTATGCGTTTAAAATTTGAATTCGCGCTTAGAATTTGATTTCCGAGTTTTGCGTTTAGAATTTGACATTCGCATTCAATTTCAGCCGAAATTTGGTAACTGGCTATTCAACTACTCTATTCAGGAAATTCGAACCAACAGTGTAGAGCTAAGAATGCTATTAGGAACAAATACGCGTCCCTACACGTTGTGCAGCCCAGCTAAGCTTTTGTTTTCTCTGTTTTAGCTTGTCATCTTCGTTATCTATGCAAATCGCCTCCCGTAAGCCTTTTGCCTTTCATACTGTAACAGTTCCAAAAACGCACAGTGACGACCCTGCCCTTGTTTGTTTTTGTGTGTGCATGCATTTTATTCTGGATTTTCAACTCAAGAAGTAAAAAAGCTTGGCATGAAAATCGCCAACTTCAAGATTTTACGCCTAAGTGCATCATCAAAAATTTAGATTATGCTTCGACGGGAAATTTTCCGACCCCGGAACCCAGACAAGATAGAAATCAAAATTTCATGAGAAAATTCCCCGCCGGTGCGCGATTCCGACCACTACTACACACCCTCTATCATCAGCCAGTATATCCGGCTCCCTAGTCGTAATTTATCACTCCTTGCGTCAACTGCTTCTTTTGCGGTGTTTCAAAGCAAATTTTACAGCTCAACGATGCCGAAGGCCTCGCTATTTTCATTGGGGAAAGAAGGTTGAAGCTGTAGTATGCAACGGCAGCCAAGTCTCGTATTTTCACAAATATTCGAAATGAAATCCAAATTTAATACTACCTGGACAGATCTTCTGGCTTCATCAATTTCTCCCTGCGTTAAACCCTTCTGGAGCAGGAAATTGTTCTGTTGCTCCAATGACGTCCAACAGACCTGTGGCGTCATCATGAATTTTTGAGCTACGGTCACCATATCCGGACGAATTACCAGTTGCTTTGGACCTCCATAACCACCAGAAGCAGCACCATCACTATCGTTTTCTCTCCTTTCATCCATCAGTCGTAGCCGTTGGTTAATCTGGAAAATCGACCGTGCTTAGCATCTCACGCGACTTCGGCGAAGCCTCAACCATGAGTGAGGAAAGAAAAATGCAAAAAACAATCCTGAGAACAAATCCAGGCTGCAATGCACCTGACATGGTAATGCGATCATGCATTTTTGATCGAATCTTGGGGAAATCAGATCGTTGGCAGAATGAATGATTGTTGCTGTAGGGGGCAAATGCTGTCAGCAGTGTGGTTAGCTTTTTATTGTAAGACCGTGAAATCTGAACCTCAAATATATAATGTTTACTGAAAATTTGCATGAAGATGTAGTGACAGAACGAACCTTCAAGTTCATCCTAACTATACAAGAAAATGAAGAATTTATAAAAGCTGATTTTGCATCACAAACATTCACATTGGATAGTATACTCTCAAAAAATTTCGGTTTCCTACTTAATCTAATCGCAGAGTAAATGAGAGCTACAGTTCAAAATTTACTTGAGCATAACACGAGACCGAGGCGAGCTCAGTTTAAAAGCTTTAAGTCGCTCATAGGTGTAGAAGATTTTTGTAAGATTTCAGCTCCCAAGCCTATCCAGTCCCCGAAATCTCCACTTCACTATTTTCGACGTACCCTAACGAATGATATAGACGCAAATCACAGCTTAATTTAAATGTACGAGTCCTCAAATGGGCAATAATTATTTTTGCAAAACTTAATCTATCCTTTCTCGACTAATTCTCAAGTTAGCCAAGGTGTTAACGATGAATTTCGACGTGTCGGTATACGTGACAGAGGTACACAATATAGCTGAATTCGAAATTTTTAGCTCATACACGAACAGTGAACATCCCTGCAGAGTTTTAGCTTCCTATATCGGCTGGTTCTGGAAATCGCCTTCCGCCAGTAGTGCTCTAAATCATACTTTAGAAAAAGAGATCAAGCCTGGTGTGTTTCCACAGAGCACAGCGACCCCAGAAATAACAAAACTGTTTATCTGACGCAGATAAATACAAAGTAGCCCATTCAACATGTGCTTAACAAGTAACAATAGCAGACTTCAAAGTGCAACTTGCACCTGCGACTGCGCAACCATTTCATAAAATATGTCCATCTTTCGGCCCAGAACGGTACATGACAGTCGAAATACTACGGATTCTCCGCTCCTTCCCTCACTTTCCCTCCTCTCCTCCTTGTCTTCGTTCCTATCTGTTGCAAAAACAGCGCAAACCGTACAGTCTGCTCGAAATGGCACACCCTACGCAGCATTCACACTCGAACTGTGTAATCATTAGAACGCCTGCCAGTTTCCGCAACCCAAAAAACTATTAAGCTATATTTCAGGCATTTTTGCTAACTGAAATGCGTAAACAAACAGACCATTGAATAAACGACAGACTACAGGAACTACTTTGAATGACTACTGTGAGCTTCCACCTATCTATGTGGAGCTGGGCCAGTCTGCTGTATTGTGCGGAAGTAGTCCGAGCTTTGAAAGGATGTTACGCTTATGTTCTGGAGAAGTGGGGGTCTTGCGCGCAGCGCTCTCCGTTTTAGGTGCTATTCTCGAGACACAAAAAGTGTTGGCACATATTACAAAACGAACAAAAACAGACGGAAAAACGAAAAAATAATGAAAATTTTATGCACAATTATAAATGAAACAGAGAAACGCATATCAAACAATTATTATTGCAATTTTTTAACGGCATAATCAGGAAGAAAAGAAAAGCCGTTCCGCACCCTAAGTAGCCATCGAAAGCACTTCTACCGGGGAGCAAAAAGCAGAGATCAAGTAACAAGGCAAAAAAAAAAATGGCCGAGAAGGCACAAGATTTAGCTAAAAAAGTTGACCGAGACGAGCCACATCACTCTGCAATATCTATTAAAATGAACAACCAAATTCCCGATTCAAATGCTGCTGATGGACAGCTGTCAGACGTGATCGTACTTCATCCGATATAGCTAAGAAGTCAACTGTTGTAAAATAATCATATCGTGACAGCACACAATCCAGCCTTGCATGAATCAGCCTTCAAAAAAACAACAGTAAGACTGTATGTACTGTTAGTAGAAGTCCCTCGACGTTGCCAAAAAACAGTGATCTATACATTCATAAAAACGCTGTACATCCTAGTTGTAATCAAAGCGAAAGTGCTGCGAATTATACTCATTCCAGTATTCACAGTGATACGCAATACATGCTAATATTAAGTGCTTTTAATTTCCATGTGCTCACGAAAAGATACTTCACGCATCATTCGTCCACCACTTTTTTCAGCAAAAAGTAAGTATTTTCTATTTTCACCACTATAACACCACTCATATCAAATTACATGCTCGAGGACAACTGGGCTCAACACTTCAACGGATACCTTCGCAATCTACGAAAAAAGACTGCGGGGGCACGAACACCTCAGCACGTAGTTGATTTCGGATGAAAATATAACCTATTATGATTATTGCGAAATTCATATCGTTAACTGAGGTAATAACAGGAGAGAGGCGGAAACAGTCTTGGGCAAACTTTTAAATGTGAAAAAGAAGAGTGACTAAACCGAACGGCAGTTTCTGAAGTCATCCTCACAGCCCCGTGTGCTGTTGTGCATCAGAACGCAAAGCCGTACATGTGTTTGTTTGTCTCTAGAACTACAAAAGCTAAAATTTTCTGAACAAAATCTCCGACCACACATGAGTCATCAAAAGCAAAAGCAGCTCTTACTTCTCTTAGAATCCTGACCTTCGACCTCAATTCAAAATTTGACTCCCATTCCCCTCTCCACAACTCGAAGAAGCAAAAAAGATACAATTTTGAAGTCCTAGGGGAAAAGTCCCTGACCCTACACGCCGAGAAAACGCTGAAAAGCAATCGTCTAAAACCAAAATTAAAAATTTATAATAGCCTACTTTTTTTGCATATGTCTTGGAAGATATGCACCAACTCGGCAATTCCAAATGCGTTCCTCATGCTCCAAAATAAGATCTTCGGGTGGCTGCGGGTACCGTGAAAAACCAACATTACAGGAGACACACTGACCAAAAAACAGAGTATTCTGATCAGAAATGAAAGAGAGATTGAACGGCTCGTCGTTATGGAAGGGTTGTGTGAAGCGCCGTAAACTTGGAGAAGCCATACGATTCATCTGAAAGCACTTCTATACAAAATGTGTATAAAACGTGGATTTATGTGTTTGTATGACAAACTATCTGCTTACCACAACTATCAGCAACGGCGATGAGATCCTATTAACAAAGCCAGGCAACGACGGACGAACACAACAATGCATCTGAACTGTTACCGCTTGCTAGGATGCGCAAAGTAATACTATACACAGAGGCAAAATGCTACATTCTTCGTTAAAGTATCTGTGCATCTTATATGTTTAAAGGTCGGAGCGCCCGTACTTTTAAACACCAGAAATACCATAGCCGCCCGGTTAACTGATATGCGGGGCCCAGGTCTTTGACGTTACTGGGATAATCCCACACGCCGGGGCACTTGACCCTGAGCAGTATAATTCCCGTCAGGACGAGCGGTTTGATGTGCGTGTACCATCAAAAGGCCTAGTACAGCTGCGCTCGGTGTGTGGAAGTACGTACAATGTGTTACAGCGTGCTGCCTTGCGGTAAATGCCCCGGATATACACATTATAATGCACCAAAACGACTAAACTCATTGAAACCACTCTAGGCACTGCCGTGTTAGAACGCAGTAAGTAAAAATTTGTTGGTTTTTTACAGTGCACGGCCTGCAAAAACAAGCCGATTGAGCAGATCCAGACACTCAGCCATAGAGAGCCTGCTGTAAGGAACTAAAACATTCGGTGCAAAATTGCCACAGCCGTTGCTGCTACAGTTTGGCCTATTTCTGATGACCCCGTCTCTCACACAGTGGAAAACTGAACACATAAAATCTCACGCGAGATATTCTTTGAAAATCTAGTTTCGGTAGCATGCAAAATGATCATCATCCTCTGAATAAGGAATAACAACAGATATAAAATTGTTTTGCCACTCAGGCTTTCGTATTCTTGTTTCAGATGTCAGGGAGTAACTGGGTCTCTGGGCAGCGTATGCCGAAGTGTGCCGCCTTCTAACCTTAGACTTTTAAAAAAGCAGAATCACAAACCAAGACAATGTCAAAAAGTCCAGGCCTTTTTTTTCGCTGTCTATCAGAAACAAAGAAACTCGAAGTCACAGCACTCGGCCAACATTACCACGGCTAGCAAAATGCCGACATTTCTCTTTCCCAGCCGTCCGTGCTGTCCTTTTCACTGAAAGCCCGCTGCATAAAGTTTCACTTTTTGGCGTACTGAGTATGTCAGTACTCGACAGCTACTGGAATGAATCAATGAGACGCAAAAGGACTGGCTTCCCCGCCAATATGTTTTAAGCAACGTCTTAAGTCTGAATGTCATTGACGACGACCGTGACGAAAAGGTGTTAATCGAAAGAGCAATGAATTTGGCCCACGCACACTTGAATGAGAATATATACATAAAAAGAATGCAAACGTTCGGTCCTTTACCAGGCAAAGCAAGCAGTTAAAAAAGAACAAGTGCCAGCGAAATGCTAGAGAGCAGTGAAATGGGTAACCCGAAATAAAAATGACATAAAATATTTTTTAAAAAATACGTGGCATTCTTAAATAAGTATGCGTGCTATATGATGTCAGATGATTTTTCATTCAAGTGCCAATTATAAACGGTATCAGTTGGGTGAATATGTCGAGAACAAGCTGAAAATAAATAGCGGCGCGCACCAGAGTAGCCGGTGCAATCATGCGTTTTGCGCAGTTCCGTCCAAGGACGTTTGCTTGCTAAGGATCTTCACTGTTTTACACTTTGGTTTGAGCAAAACAGTCGATATGCTGTTTGGTCCTAAGCTGCAAAATTACCCATTAAAAATTTCACGTACGACACGTGAAATGCAAATGTACGTGAAAGCTAGATCTTTGGACAGTGAACATCGTCCCCAAATTTTAACCTTCTATTTCTCCAAAACTTTAC